GGCTAGGGGGTCATGTCTTTCTCTGCTTTTTTTTTGCAAGGACCTTTTTTTTTAGAAATATAGACAATTATTTTAGAAATTATGGATTTTATTTTAGAAATTGAGGGGTTGACCCCCTCCACTTTGAAGGCCGTTTCGACACTATTAGCATAAGATTATTTAAATCATGCTTTAACTAGAAAATCACTATTTTGGTCTATAAAATGAAAACTGTACATGTACCGATAAAATAATTACAACAAAAATTGTTGGTATTACATAGTAGGACACTCATGTAACTGTTATTTTAAAAATAGCGACCGATTTTCAAAGTAATCGGTAACGCTTTGAGATATAAGTAGCAAAACTTCAACTTAAACTGCAATAAAACTACACCAGTCATCCAAAGAGGCTGAAGTTTTGTCCAGAGTTTGGTGTGACTATTGGCTACATTTGCACCAATTTTTATTAAATTATATTGAGTGGTTCAAATTCTACAAGTGTTTTTATTGGCGTAATATGAAGTCAAAATTTGACTAAATTTAAACATTCAAATTAAATTATTTTCCGCGGACAAAACTAAATGATTTCAAAATTTGCATCACAGGGTACCTTTATGTGTACGCTAACTTTCCGTATAAGTGGCGTTCTTGGGACACCTAGGTAGGCATTATAAGGATCCGTACTAACCGTGTCAAAACGATAAACTTTTTTAAAGGTTAAAAAAATTTCCATTAAAAAAAGTTATCTGAATAAAATAAATTTTTTAATATTTTTACAAATTAATAAAAAAAATTTTTGAGCATTTTCTTGCTAGTTCGCTCATATTGACTTTTTCTTTTTTTGTCAAACTGCTCAGCATGAAATCCAAAACTGAACTTTATATTTGTAACAATTACCATTGCTTGAAATACTAATAATTTTGAGTTATGGAGATACGAGTAGTCCAGATTTTATTGAAAGTCTTTGAAATATCAAGAAAATTAATCCTTGCCTTTTCGTCTAATGCACAATAGAACCTTTAGGTTATAACAGTTTACAAGTCAGCAGTAGAACTTTAAAATCTGTATTGATTGTCTGAGTGTTTACGAGATATTAGAAGTTTATTAATTAAAAGTTTAAACACTTATAAAAGTTAGTTTAAGCGTGAAATAATTTTAACAACAGAAGCAGGGATGATTTTGATGTCTGAAGGTTACCCTGTTTCTTCGGAATGGCAGGATGAGCGTGGTTATAAAATTTAAGCAAGGAATTATAACAGTTTAGCTGGAAGGAGAACGAAGCAGAAAATGGATACAGTTACAGTCTTTGTAGTATAATTAATGTCGCATTACAGTCTTTGTAGTTATTATTCGAGGAGCAAGTCAAGAATGGCGCTTTTGCAAAAAAATAAAAATTTTTTTAATTTTTCAGTAACCTTTGAGAGTTGTAATAAAAATAGATTTTTTTTTTTTTTTGTTATTTAGGTGCCCCAAGAAGACCTAACAGTTTTGTCAGAGAGCACCGCGGAAGTGTATTTAACCAGAAAGTTTACGCCTTCTTCCTTACCGTGACGCGAAAATATGTCCAAAGCTCGTTTCGAACCTAGATTTAACTAGGTTTTCTAGTTTTTTTAGGCAGTCTAGATTTTCGAACCTAGATTTCGAACCTAGAGTTAACATCAAAGCAAAGTGTATATCAGATTTTATTTATATTTTCGTCTGTCAATATATTAAGTATGTATATATTAAGCCATGTAATTATATATTTATGTGTATCAAATAGTTTTTTATAAGTGACTCTAATGCCACTAAAAGAATTTACTAAACTAAAATTTTTTTTACAAATTAAGTATTCAAAAATATCGCAACTAAAAGCGGTTTCTTGATGACAAGACCACATGGTCTTCTGCAAGTTTGTCGCGTTCCTTTAAAAGCGTTACTTTTTTATATTTATTATTTGTGCGAAGTTTAATAAATGTACTGAAAAAAAGTTCCTATTATATGTACGATATTTTATTTTATACATTGTAAACGAATCAGTTTATATTATGATCACGTATTTGTAAAATTTTGATAAAAGAACAAAAGAAAAAAAAAAAAAAAAAAAAAGATCTCTTGCAAATAAAGTAAGCGCTCTAACCACTGCGCTTAAAAAATAAAAGTTTGTTGGATATGTTTTTAACAACTATTCGATCAATCAAGAAGTTAGTTAAAACAAAAATCAAGATTAAGGTGAAGTAACTGTTTTTTGCGTACCTTAATTAAAGGTATAAATATCAAAGTTTTTGACAATCTCTACTACTTTTTGAACTTTTTTTTTGCTTGCCTGTTCAGCTATAGGTTAGTTACGTTCTTTAAGACTGTTCTATCGGCCAGGAACTTATTAAATCCCTCCAGGAATTTATTTTGTGTTGGAGTAATTTTGCTGGATTTAAAAGCAAATTGCCTATTCTAAATATAGAGATACAAAATACATGGCAAAGGTACTACCAATTCTTATCTAGACATTTATTAATTCAATTCTAATCCAGAAATTTATTATTAGTCGTTCAAAAAGCACAACAAAAAAATAACACAACAAACGCAATAAGCACAAGAAAATGACGTTTTGAAACGATATCATTGTTGAAAGTGGAATGCAATTGTTTAACTTTAAGTTATGATAGTTCAGCGGTGTTTAATAGAAAATTATGTTACTACTAAGAGTGTTCTTTAAGAAATGAGGTATTTTAATTTCGTTCTCCAGCTAAGTTAGCAGCCGTGGCGCAGTGTTAGCACACTTGCCTCAGAAACGTAAGATCCGTAGTTCAAACCCCGCCTCTGGGCAAGTTTTGCGACATCGGTTGGGAAGGAGGCGTGAACTTCCTATTAAATGCTCTTCCACGGTGCTCTGTGATAAGACCGTAAGGACTTCTTGGGGCACCTAAAATCAACACAAAAAAAAAAAAAAAAAAGTTATTATAACTCCTTGATTTAAAAGAGTAAAAATGCAAATTGTTCTGCAACTATTTCTGTTTTTCATATTATTATAACTCCCAAGAGTTTTAAGATGAAATGTTAAACTTTCCTTGGTTCATGTATGATATGTTATCAAGATTAAATGTTAAACTTACCTTGGTTTTTGACATTGTTAAAAATTTACTTAAATTCTCTAGAATCTAACTTTTGAGATGAAACACGAGACTTAGCAAAGTGAAAATAATGGACCTTAACACCAGACATCACCTATATTCCCAAATCAAGAAGGTAAGTAATTAAGATTATTACGAAAACGAATTACAAAGTTAACTATCTAAGTAAAAGATTAAGAAAGACTAAAACTTTGAGCTTTAGAGTAAGCAAGATCAATGAGCCAACTCTTTCAGTGTGATGAGAATTAAAGTCATCAACAACAATATTGATAAAGAGAAAAAACTCGGTCAATTTGATGAGAAACAACATTTTGCGACGTTAGAATTATCTTGTTCTATCTCCACTTTCTGAAAAAATTAAGTTAATGATAGTGTTGTGTTCCTCAAAATAATGTCTCTCTACTGAATTGAAATCTAAGTTATAAGTAAAAAAGTTGCGGAAAAAAACATAAGTTATAAAAAAAAGGTTTATACGCCGTCTCCTAAAGTTTTCGTTTTTTAAATCGTTTTATCTCAAAACTAAAAAATGTGGAGATAGAATAAGATAATTCTAACGTCGCGATTTGTTAAGAAACAACAAGATTGTAGGGAAGGGGTACAATAAAGGACAAAAATAAAAGTGAATGGATAAAAAGAAACTAAACAAAAGAACATAAAAAAATAGTCAGAGAATTCAAAATTAGTTTTATGATAAATAGGTGATTTGATACCTAAGTACACGCCTAGGCCGAATATCTGACTGTTAGTGTCTTTGCAAATCTAGTAATGTTAGCTATAAACTATACGATCCGAAGATGAAACAGTTGAATATAAAGTATTTTCACAGTAAGTAGGTCAATTTAACTTTGTAAAAAATGATAAGTGGGAATAATGTTACATTGAAGATCGCTATTATTTGTAAAAGATAAATTAAGACAACTTAGTGCTAATGATGGTTTTTTTGTTTAATATTTTCAGGCATTTTGTTCATGTTTTAAATGAATAGAAGTTGACTTAATCACAGTAAATGCACTGTTTTTAGTTAAGCGAGTTTAGTAGTAAGCAGTGCAATAATGCCTTCCTACTATTCAATCCAAGGTGGATTAACAATGCGCACTAGCAAAGACGCCATGCTAATAGTTAGATATTTTACAGCTGTTTTTTATTTATTTTACAACTCGCGTTGGTATAATTCACTTTTTTTTCTGATGGAATCAGCCTCTCTACTAAAATAATTATCTTAGATAAATAAAAAATATCAAAAATAGTTTTATATACTGACTACAAATTTAAATTTTACAATGATGCTTTTTAGTCAAAGGTTTCTTTAAATGAAATTAAAAAAAAAAAAAAAAAAAAAAAAATAGCTTTTCTACGTTTTATTTTTAGATGTTTTTGCAAAATACGAATAGTTTTTTATAACTTTTTATACAATCTTGCTTTTTAAAAGATCCAGCTTGTCTTTTCAAGAAACTTTTTTGTTAATAATATTAGGGCTAATGTTCAAGGATCTTGGACAAACTCTAAAGGTAATTAAAAAGAAAAAACTTTTATATTTTTTACTGCATGATTGAAATTCATGAAGATATACAGATTAGATATAGCTGTTCATTGTGTTGTTTTCCACTCCAGGGCAAATGTTTTTTAATGTTTGAGATAACTTCCAGACATGGAGAGCACTTTAAATATTTATATAGTTATACTCATATCAAATAAGGATATTTTGCAAAAACTTGCTATGATTAGAGCCTGGGTCATTAATCCCTTTATTAGTTTTCCCATCTCTACGTCATTAATCCGTTTTAATCCTTTAAAAAATTCTTTAAAAAAAATCCTTTGATAAAAAAGTTTATGAACCGTGACAAAATTACAAAATGTATAAAATTCTGGAAATAATCAGTTTATTAAATTTTACAAATAAACATGGCTAAAACAATAAAAAAAATTAGTAAAACTAAATTAAATAAAGTAAAAAAAACTTTATTTAAAAAACCTATTGCTGTAAGCATAATTTTTTAGTACTTTAAATTTTTTTAAATTTATTATATTTTAATTGGTTTAAAATATTTTTTTAGATAGTTAAACCCTATGAAAACGAGTACAAGCCCAAACCTATATATGTTGCACAATCAGTTGTAAATAGACACGAAGATTACACGAAGAAGATTTAGATATGTATGCTGGTGAATTGGAATATTTTGGCGATTTGCCTGATTTAGATGGTAATATTTTTTGAATATATAATTATTAAAAAATTTTTATTTAAAAAATTTAAAAAAAATTATCATTTTTTAGCAAAAATTCGTATATTGGATCAATTTATACGTTCTCGTGCACAAACAAACGAATTTGGAATTTATACGTTCTCGTGCACAAACAAACGAATTTGAAATTAATAAAGGGATTAATGACATCGGGATTAGAGTCGTTACTTAAATTTGAGAAAGGGAAACATCATCAATTGTTGCTAATAAATAAGCAGATACCATGTAAAAAAAAAACACTAAATTTTAATGCGTTTAAAACACTTAACGCAAACTATTGCCACTAACGCTGTAGTCGAATGTAATTCGGAAGCATCTAACGCATCGACACAGGCATCATACTCATTTGTTCTAGATATTAATATTGGTTTTTTACGCCTGATAAAAATTATATTGTTATTTAACACATATAATAATGCAAACGTTTTAAGTAAAAAAATGATGTTTTTTAAAATGTTTTTTAAGCGAGGGTCCGAAAATTTCGTATAAAAATGCAACAACCAAAAATATTGCACTTAAAAACATCGTAATAGCACCGAATATTGATGTAAAAGAAACGTCTTCAGTAGCAGAAAACTCTTCACTTTAACCAAGACGAAACTCATAATATCTTCTGTATGTAAGCTTTAAAAAGAAAAGCAATCGAGAATAGAAATGTCGATTTCACCGTTAAACTTCATATCCTCGATAGAGGATCCAAGAAAATATTGATTTATCGAAAGAACTGGTGAGTTTATGTGGGAGCCCTAAATAAGAAAAAATTAGTTGAGAAAAAAAGATTTATTTTTTTTTCAACCACTTTGCTCTTGGAAACAATTATTGAAAGAAAATATTTACGTCATTGGTACGGCCACTGGTAAAAGGTATTCAGGAGCAAAACCTTTTCGGGATAATGGTACATTCCACTTTATTGAAGGACAATTTGGAATTGGCTTTTTTAAAATCTCATCACCAACTTGTTCAATAACTTTAGAATACAAATGCAACTTGTTATCTGTAAAAAAATATAAAAATAAATTTAGATGCTTATATTAAATACAAAACAAAAAAAAAAAAAAAAAAAAAAAAAAGTACTAATACCCTGCAACCGAGTAGTCAACATATGCAGTTCGGTAATAGGTTCGCTTTTCATAGATGTTAAAAATTTATTTAATTCCCCGCCATTTATTGTATAGTTTAATATTTCGTCTAATAGCCAGAAACAATCTAAATAGAAAATTCTTTTTAACGTAAAAATCAAATACGATATCAGATAATATTTGAAAAAAATTCTATTTTAATTCTATTATATCAAAAGATCTGAATCTATTTTAATTCTATTATATCTAAAGTGTATTACAATAAAATTTATATTTAATTATTATATTTATATAATTTATTTATTATTATAAATAATATAGTTATGTAATTATATTTATATAATTACTATAACTAATAAATTATATTTGTGTTTTAAAACTTATATGAGCATTTCACTTTTAAGCAAAATTCTTTGTATTATAAAAATTTGATTACATTTAACATTTACCGGTTGTCATATGTGCAGAATCTAAACAATTAGAATCTCCATACACAACTATGCGACCCGAACCACGATGAGTCTGACTTGGATCATAAAAACCAATGATAGGTACATCCGAGTCTGCTTTAATTTCACCAAACAAAACCTCAGCAGCTTGATCGTAAAGTTTGTTTGCTCTCATCACAAACCCTTCTTTAGGAAATTCTCCAATCGTTGCACCAGATGCATAAATGACTATGTTAATAAGTAATATATATATATATATATATATATATATATATATATATATATATATATATATATATATATATATATATATATATAATAAAAGAACGAATCATTGGAAAAGTTATAATATAGATTTAGTATAAATATTGCGAAATCAGCAAAAATTATTAGAATTTAGCTGGGAGATAACAGCTCCCCCACCATATTCACCAGACTTAGCCCTAAATGATTATTACTTTTTCATCGGAGAAATGGTCTATAAGATGAAGTTTTTAAAATGAGATCAACCTCAAAGCTTACTTGAGCAATTATTTTGTCTTTATGCCCAAAAAGTTTATTAACAGAACATCTATGTTTTGTGTGCACGCTTGCAAATATTTATAGACAATAACTGAAAAAAAAGTAGGACCACTACTTTTTCTTTTTTACATTAATGACCTTAATAACTCAATTATGTTTGCAACTCCTTACCACTTTGCTGATGATCTTAACCTGCTCATTATCAATAAATCAAAGGATATGTGTATTGTGTATAAGTGTTTGTGATAAGCGCATGTGAATAAGTGTATGTGTGTATGTGTATGTTTGTATATTTGTATGTATATATAAATAAGTATATATGTATGTATATATATATATATATATATATATATATATATATATATATATATATATATATATATATATATATATATATATATATATGTATATTTATATATATAATATATATATATATATATTATATATATGTATATTTGTAAATTTCCATGAATGTAACAACTATTTCAGAAATATATTGATTGATTGAGCATATATAATTGAAAAATTTATTTGTTCATTCTTTATTGACAAAATATTAAAAACCCGATAAATTTATTTGTTCATTCAAAATATTAAAAAAATAAAATTTGAAGACTAAACAGTTATACATCTAAAGTGTTACAAAATAAAATCTGAATAACCTGAAAATTCTAGTTGTATATCACAAAAAAAGACCAAGTACACTCCATCATTGTCAACAACAATAACAGTCTAATAATAATCAATAGCAATTTAAAACCTCTTCTAAACTTTTTATTGTTTTCCCTATAAAATGTCTAAAACAACTCAACAACTGTTACAAAAATTTTTTTACTGAAATGTTTTTACAAGATACTACTTAAACTTCTTAAAGAATTTTATTTAAAAAAAAAAAATTAACTCTGATCAAAAGATAAAATCTACAAACAAAAGATAAAATCTACTTAATTTCCAAACAAAAATTTTCAACTACAGTGACTATGTAAAATAACAAAAAATGTAATGCACAATTTTTTCAGAAGAATGATTATAGACAATTAGAAAAATAACAGAAAAATGACAATTAGAAAGATGACAGTAATGTTTATTAAAACCAAAAAAAAAAAAAAGACAAAAAATTATAAGTTTTGCTGAAAAGAAAGAATACCTGTTTTTGTTCCAACTTTAAATTCTCCAGAATAAACTTGATCAGTTAATGATATTCCCCACGGCTTCATTAGTTCATTTAAAGCTGGAATGTTTGCACCTCCGGTAACCGGCGTCCACCACTGTCTTGTATTTTCATCATAAAATTGTATTTTATCCATTACTTTCACATTGTACCACTCCCCTTCAAATAATATTTATAGTAAATATCAAATTTTTATATTTACATTTTATATTTGTTTTACCAAGGTTTTTCTTACACTATCATAATGCCAGAATTTCTGATTTTTTCTATTTACAATCATCCAAAAGACATAAAAAAGTGAATGGATAAAAGAGTGATCACATGTGTTTAGAGATAAATTATATGAAAACACTATGAATATCATACCATAGGCAGGAATACACATATCATTTTACTTCATTACCTCATATGTATTACACGCTTATAACTGATTTTTAACTATTAATAACACTATATTATCAGTATAGTATGTGCTCTTCTTTGCTATTTATTAGACATTGAATTAATATCCTATCACATCACTGTTTTTACTATGTAACGATGGGAAGCTAGAAATGAAATCTATATCAGATAAAACATGTTTTACAACAGTTATGGCAACTAATAATAAAGGCTGGGCTTCAGACCTCATAGGTAATTTTCATGCTGGAATGTACCTTACATGTGTCTATGATAATGATTGGTTTATTGGGATTGTACAAGAAATTGGAGTAAACTTTAAATGACCAAGGCAAGAAAGATAAATGTTTGTGTTACTGTTGTAAATGTTTTGGCAAAAGTAAATACTCTGGTTGCACAATGTCAAGAAGCAATTGCGCAATCAAACTTCTGAGCAAGAGTTTGAAGAAATTTTGAAATGTTCAACAAAAAAATTTAGACTTATTAAAACCTTAGAATGTTTAGAATTATTTTGAGAATTAAAATTTTATTTTTTACGTTCTTTTAATGTGATTGAGATTTATTTCTTGCCTTTTTTTAAGTTTAAAATTTATTACATATTATTCATTATGTTAATATCAAATTCCTTTTTAAATTCCTCACTTTAAAAAGAATGAATAAACAAATTTTCACATAAAAAATGTTCATTGGTTTTAAAGGAATTAACTATATAAAAAATTCAAAATAGACAATTTTGAATTCCAAAAATCTTTTTTGATAGAAAGTTTAAATTCAAATATCTCAGCAGCTAGAAGACATCCCAAAATTATTTTTTTTTGTATTTCTACTTCTTATATTGAAGATGTATTCCTAAAAGTTTCAAGTGTTCAATTTACTGTACACTCAATTTTCATTTCCTAAATACACTTAATTTTAAGGTTGTTTCTAACTGTATTTTTTCAAATACAGTTAAAATCATTTTATTAAAATTTGCTTTTTATGCACCTGTTAGAAATAAAAAAAACAAAACAAACTGAAAGCACTGAATATATATATATATATATATATATATATATATATATATATATATATATATATATATATATATATATATATATATATATATATATATATATAAATGCAGCATTATAAAAAATAAGAAGTTGCGGACACTCAAGTACATACATCCACTATCTAATAGCCTGACGCAACGGAGTGCAGCTACATCGACTGAGGTTTTAGCAAGGGGCAGCAATCTTTTCTTTTATTATTCTTTTTTTTTTCTTTTACAAAAAAATGTGCACATATATATAAATATATATATATATACATACATATATATATATATATATATATATATATATATATATATATATATATATATATATATATATATATATATATATATATATATATATATATATATATATATATATATATATATATATATATATATATATATAAAATATTTTCAACATCTTTGCTTCCAACAAGGCTGCAAGCAACCACTTTTAGAGTTGGAAGTTACTGGAAGAGAAAAGATCAAGTTTATAGAGCAAGATAACAATTGACAGACAACTTAAAAGATTGGAAATGGCACAAGAGAGGCTAGCTCTTTAGAGGAGTGCCCCTTATAGTATTTGTAAAAAAGAAAAAGAAAACAAAATTATGATAATGTGATAATGGTTGGAGGTTGGCAGTAAGAGCAGGTCCAAGTATGTTTAAAATGCATTTTTGCATCTTTTCTAAAAGAGAAAGGGCATCATTAGAAGATCCACCCAGATATGGCAACAGTATTCCATACAAGGATGGCTTTTTTAAGATTTATAGAGATTAAGAACAGAATCCGGAGTAAAAAAGTGTCGAGCACCATAAAAAGATGCAATCTTAGCAGATGCCAACTTTGCAATCAAGTGGATATATGGTTTCATAGAAAGATCGGAAGTAAGAGTTAATCCTAGAAGATGAAGGTTAGATAATTCTTTAAGTACATTACTGTTAATAAATATAGGAAGATCTAAACTATTGTGGTAAAGAAAGGTTGAAAAAAATTGGGTTTTATCTAAATTAAAGTTCACCAGCCATTGAGAGCCCCAAGCTACAGCAGAAGTGAGATCCTTTTCAAGCTCAAATGCCTTATCCAAGCAATCAGAGAGTGTTAGCTTCGTATTAAAACAAGAATAAATGGTAGTTTCATCAGAAAACAATGTTGCCTTAGATGTGAGAATATCTGGAAGATTGTTAATTTAAAATAAAAAAAATATAGGGCCAAGGATAGAACCTTGAGGAACCCCTGAAGTGACAGGATATGAAGAAAAGTACTGTCCATTAAGGACAACTTTAATACTACGATTGGTAGGAACAATGACGATTGTTAACAACAAATGGAAAGGAAGAATTCAATAGTCCTAAAGATGTTACCTGATACACCATAAGAAGAAAGCTTATGGAGAAGACCAGCATGCCAAATTTTATCAAAAGCTTTAGAAATATCAAGAGCGATAGCCATAATCTCCCCACATTTATCTAATGGGCAATAGAAACTGTTACTGACAATAATTACTGGTTATTACTGTTAGCAAATCAGCTGTAGAGCAAGTAAGTTATTACTTTATTAGATTCAAGATGAGAGGTTAAGTGTTTTTTAATTAAAGACTCAAAAACCTTGCTTATAATAGGAAGACTAATGGGACAGTAGTTAGACTAGACAGAGCGCTCTCCAGAACTTTTGAAAATAGATATAAAGATGCCACTTTCCAGCATGCTGGAAAACAAGACTCTGATAAGCACTTGTTAAATAGTTTTAAAAGTATAGACAACAGCTCTGGAGAACACTTCTACAAGACTACAACAGGTATGTTGTCCGGACCGCAAGCTGTAGAAGAGTCTAAGCAGGAAATCACTTCAAATACAGAAGTTGGAGTGATACGAATGTCAAGCAATGGATTAACCTGATTGTAAGCTATATCACATAGAATGCAACTAGTGGAATCAAGAGATGATATTGATGAAAAGTTCTTAGCAAACAATTCAGCTTTGTCTTTAGGTGAGGTGACAAAATCTGAACCATATGAGAGAGGTGGAATAACAGATTTGCCCTTATTATTGATATTGTTAAAGATTCTTCAGAAGTCACAAGAGCCTAATTTTTGAGATAAAATGCAAAATTTCATGAACTGAGAACAGCTGGCTTTAGGGAGGCAAAACCCTTTTACAATGGCTTCTAGCAATAGTAAACAGATGTCTGTTTTTTCTGGAGAATTGAAGTAACAGTTTTGAAATTGCAGCATCACAATGTGCGGTAAACCAAAGAGAGAGCGAGGCTTGATTTGGAATCATCGAGAAGGAATAAAAGATTCCATGCTAGCCTGAATCCAAGAAATTATGTAAGAAGCACATTTTTCAGCAGAAAGAAAAAAGATCTCTACCCATCATAAAGAAAATCATGGAAAGAGTCCCAGTCAGCTTTAAAGTAGTTGTAAGAGGTAGGATGATAGTGCAATTCTGATGATAAAGAAGTATGATATAAAAAAGAGAAATAAAACTGTAATCAGAAGCACCTAAGGGTGAATGTGCAGAAACTGAGCACGGACTAGGATCAGAAACAAGACAGTCGAGTAGAGAAGGTAAATGATTCAGCTTGTCTGGAAAACAAGCTAGAAAAGTTGACTATTTGAGTTAGAGATTGAGAAAGGCAAAAGTTGTGGGTCTTAACACCTGTAGAGTCACTGACACTAGAACCAAGCCATTAGGAATAGTCGGTAACACTAGAGAAAAGCACATAAACGAATAGTCGGTGGATTTGAACCAAGTTTCTCGACAAATGGGTGAATTCTTATGAATGTAAAGGCCTAGGCCAAGCATGACTATTGGAGCATGACTATTGCATGTTGGACTATTGACCAAGCATGACTATTTGAGTCTTTATGAATTAAAGAAAGCTAACCATTAACACTAAGATCACAAGATGAGACAGCCAAACTCAAATTAGTCTCACAAAGAGCAAGTAGGTCTGGTGAACATTGTAAAAGATAAAACTCAACAGAAAAGTAACTTTGAAGACCACCAATATTAGTGAATGATAGGTTTAGAGAACTTGGTGATGACGATGGTTTTTTCTGCTTTATAGTTTTTAATACTTTTGTCATTTTTAAAATTAGTTTAAGAACTTGACTCAAGCACAGATAGTACTCAGTAAACTATTTAATAGCCAAGCAATCGCCTCATTACTATTAATAAACCTCTAACAAAGGGCTCCAAATGTGGTCTTGACAATGCACACCAAAAATACAAACAGGGACAGCATCCATGCACAACATGGCATTGTTAATACTCTGATATTTTACAGCTGTTGATAGAGTCAGCCTCTCTGAGAGCTATCACAGAGTTCAGGAAACCTGACTACCAGCCAGGCTAAGAAACATAAAACTGAGTTTTAGAGCTGTACCCTTATTAGGAGATAATAAAATGAGTTGCCTAGTCATAAAAACAAAGACACAAGCAAAACCCATGGATTAAGTCAAGAAGATCCAGCATTCAACATTCTAAACTAGAAACAATGTATTATAAATACATCTGTGCCAGCCTAATAGATAAAAAAGGGGTGCGAGGCTGTTCAACAGATTGAATCTGTTTACCCCCATATATATATATATATATATATATATATATATATATATATATATATATATATATATATATATATATATATATATATATATATATATATATATATATATATATATATATATATATATATATATATATATATATATATATATATATATAGATATTGAGATAAAACTCAATTTTTTTCAGCCAATCATTATTGCAATTATTTAGACCTTTCTATATTCATGAACGGTAATGTACTCAATGAGTCAACTACCCTTCATCTTCTAGGATTAACCTTTACTTCTGATCTTTCCTGGAAACCATATATCAAATCTGTTTCAAAATTAGCATCTGCTAAAGTTGTATGGAATACTGTTGCCATATCTGGGGCAGATCTTCTAATGATGGCTTTTCTTTTTTAGGCAAGTTGCAAAAACACATTGTAAACATAGTTGGACCTGCTCTTGCAGCCAACCTTCAACCTTTATCACATCATCATAACGTTCTCTTTTCTACAAACACCATAATGGGCACTGCTCCAAAGAGCTAGTGTCTCTTGTGCCATCTACTAAAATTCATTCTCGTGTTACTTGTCATTCAATTTAGTCTCATCCTTTTTCTGTTACTGTTCCTTAAGTGCTCCAAAAACTTTAATTCATCTAGTTTTTTTCCTCGAAAATCAATTCTTTGGAACTCGCTTCCTTCATCTTGCTTTCCTGATTCATATAATTTGCAATCTTTTAAGTCGTCTGTCAATTGTTATTTTGCTTTACAATCTTCATCTTTTCTCATCCAGTAACTTGGAACACTAATTAGTGGTTGCTTGCAGCCTTGTTGGAAGCAAAGATGTTAAAAAAAACAAAAAAAACAAACAAACATCATCATTAAAGAGGAATATTTATAGCATTTTTACTAATAAAAATGGTACTGATACGTTACCTTGACTTTTATTATACATTTCACAAGAGTATTTCTATTTTGTTTATAAACACTTGTAAAAAAAAATTTGAAAAAGAATTACCTACTACAATGACTGAGAGTTTATTGTGGAAAATATCTTTAGTTAATTTTACAATTTCTTCATCAAAATATTCTTCTTCAGGATCTATTATTAAAAGTACTCCTAAAACATAAAATCCTTTTTAGACGGAAACTCATTTAGTTTGTAATTTTATTAGTTGTAATAATACTTTTTGGTTAAATCCACATAAAGAAAAGTAAAAAACTGAATACCATAATCATTTGCGTTAAAACATGTAAATGGCAAGCCTAAAATTATAAAGATGTAGATGATATAGTTTAAAATAATAAATAGATGATAAAGTAAATTATTAACTATTAAAAAAAGTAATTTCTATTCTATATCAGTTGTTTAACTATTTCAGTTTATTTGATTTTAATATTTACTAAACTTTCTTTGTTTTAGTATTATAATTATCAAAATTATTTTTTTAGGATAAAGTAATATCATTTATTAACAATACAAAAAGAACCAACTATTACTTCACTGTAACTATAAATTATTAAAAAACAAAATTGCTTCAAGATTTACCTAACACTTCGATAAAATAATCTTTTGAACGTAAATATGTGTACAAATCTTTGTAGTTTGTATGGATGTGGTCTGCATTCCTTTAAAAAAAAATCAAATTAAAAAAAAAATGGTTATATTCACAACAATTTAACAAAACTTTTGTAATATATACAATAGAAAACCTTTATTTTTATCATACCAATCCAATGGATCCATCTTCATGTTAAGATTATCACGAGGGAAATACCCAGAAGGATATCTCAAATTATGAAACTGATCCCAAAGAATACGTTTGCTTAAAAAAACAAACAAATTATGTTAACAATAATACTAGAAAATTTAGAAAGGAAACTGAAAAACCTTTTTTTGTTTACAAAGTTTTCTCATTATTATTAATTTTTTTGAGCTGCAGACACTAACTGCCCTTTCCCAATTTAAATATATATATATATATATATATATATATATATATATATATATATATATATATATATATATATATATATATATATATATATATATATATATATATACTTTATGTAATTAAATGAATAAAAACAACTAAATAGTGGGACTTGAAGTTTCATGCCTGAAGGCAATCATCAGCGTGAATACAAACAAAAAACGTCAAAAAACCGTTTTTTTAAAAAACTTAAAATTAAAATTAAGTTTTTTAAAAAACAGTTTTTTGTATTCACGGCTGATAATTGCTTTTGGGCATGAAACTTTAAGTCCTGCTATTTAGTTATTTTTATTCATTTAATTACATAAATACAAATTTATCTATGTAATACTTTTGGCACAGTGCATTGGACTTTCCATTTCTATAATTTACCTTTTAGATAATTTAGAATTCATTACATGATCCCAGGAATACCTAAACTTCTAAAATTATCATAGGAGGATTTAAACATTGAACTTAGTTTACCTGTATTATTACAGTTGAACTAAGTTCAAGTTTATACCAAAGTTAATACCAGTAGGATTTTGGTCAATATTGACACAAAATCATAAGGCTAGTGTATAATTTTCCATAAGATCCGCATGATCAGTCAGCTCCTGCATTGTTTACAGTGAACCTGAACTATAACATTTGGCCTTAAAAATATCCTACATATTTTGATAAAAAGTGAAAATGTAGTAAAAATGTCAAAAATTGTTTTTGTTATTCTTTTTAAGTACGAATAAAAAATAAAGCATTTAGTACTGGAAAAAAAAGCATTATTTTGAGCCTATTTCAAATATGGAATGATGAAAATTTTTAAAACTTTATATTTAGTATTTTTAAAACCATAATATATATATATATATATATATATATATATATATATATATATATATATATATATATATATATATATATATATATATATATATATATATATATATACCGATATTTAATAATGTATGGATCAGTCTTCTCTGTTTAGCCAGCATTTTTGTGCTCAAATCTTTTTGCGCTCGTCCACACGCCCGCAAAAACTTTGGTGAGCGCATAAAAAAGCGCTTGCCAAAAAAAAAAGTTTAATTGTTCAACTTATAAGAAAATAAGCCTTTTTTTTACCAATTTTTTTTTAAATTATTTTATCTAGTATTTAATAAAACCATTCTTTTAGCTATTAGTATTTTGATTTAAATAGCAGAAGAAAAAAAAAGAATTTTTTAAATCACGAAGACTAACTTAAAAATGACCATTCTGCCAGCCATTTTTCGTACATATGAATGAGAAACAAAGTAAAATTTTGTATTGTTATAGTTAACTCCTTCTTTTTCTAATTTGAAAGCTAAAGCCAATAAATTAATTGAGGATCTTTTTAATTCATTAAATTCATTTATATTTGAATGAATTTTGGTTGATGGAACTCAAGACGATAGCTTCTTTGAGCAGCAACTATGATTAGTTGACAACTTATCAAAGTTGCTACTGACAACCATGAAGGAATTATGATGCAAACATATAATGATGTGAGAGTGGCAAATACTTAAAAGATAGAGAAAGCCCAACTAGATTTTTAATGTGCTTTAAACCTTGTCTAGAGGAGAAAAAGCATCATTAGAGGAACCAAATATGACAACTGTATTCCATACAAGGACGAATAAGAGATAAGTAAAGGTAGAGAATGGAATCAACAATATTGCGATTGTTGTTTACAGTAAATAACCGAGTTTGGTTGGAGTTAAAATTATCAAGCCACTGCAAGCCACAAGGTGTTTCAGAAATAAGATCAGATTCAAGATTGACTGCCTGAAGAAAGAGAAAATTTATTGTCAAGAAATGAGTATAAAGTTGAGCCTTCAGCAAATAGAGCCACTTAAGATGCAAGATTGTCAGGGATATCAATTATGTAGATAAGAGACAATACAAAACCAAGAATAGAACCTAGAAAAAAATCTACATAATAAAAAAAAAAAAAAGAAAAAAAAAAGCCAACAGATTTTTGGGTGAAATTGGATGACTATAGTGAAATTTACATAATAGCTTCTAAGAATACAAAAAAATAATTTTACTCAACAAAAATTAATTTTGATACAAATATAACATTCTGAAAATTTTGTTTTTACAATTCAAGTAAATTCTTAATATGTTTTTATTAAATTACTTTTATAAAAGAAAATTTCTTAAGGAAAAGAAATTTTAATGCATAAACATTTCTTGAAACCACCACACAAATGTTGTACAAAAAGCTGAAAAATTGTCACTTCATTATTATCATCGTGTGTGAGAATCTTTGTAAAGTTTGTGATCATTTCCTCTCTCTGCTGCATCATTTATGCATAGAAGCCTAAGTACTGTTACTTGCTTGAAATGACATTTTTGGTAGTCCAGACATGACAGACATTCCCAGTGGGAATGATGAGGGTTGATTAGTTTTTAAAACCTTCTGAGCAGACTTTGTCTTTAATGGTGTTTGGTATAAGAAGACTGCCAATGATATCTTTTCTCAAGCAATGTGTCAGGTATGCCTTCCAATGGAAGTCAAAGTTTTTTCACCCACTTCTTTCTCAATTTGTTCAACTTGAAAATTGTGAGAACTAGATTCAACTCATTGATTAGTAGCATTTGTGCAAGTAAGCCAGTTTTTAGAATCTCTCAAATTTAGCAGAAAGGTCAGTTGAGTAGTTTAACTGATGTCTGAACAAAAATATCTTTGCACTATACAGAGATGACCAGTTGGCCTTGTGGAAAGCATCAGATTTGTAGAAAAGAAATCCATTCAATGCTTTTTCTCCAAGTTTAAAAAGTTTAAACTATATGTAATTTTGCAAAGATCAAAGTAACCACTTTTAAATTATTTTTGTTTGAGAGTTGTTTGAGAGTTAAACAATAATAATAATAAATAATAATGGTAATTAATCAATTATTCAAAAAGTTGCTATAAAAATACTTAAATTAATTAAACTAATTCATTGATAAATGAATATATTTCTGTACTTTATGAAAGAGTTCTGGTTTTCATATCTTTGTATAAGACATGTTATTTTATATCTTATTATTAAAATTAAACCAGTATTATAACATTTAATATATATATATATATATATATATATATATATATATATATATATATATATATATATATATATATATATATATATATATATATATATATATATATATATATATATATATATATATATATTTAACAATAAAGATTTCTTACCTCTTTAGGGGTGTTGGTATAATACTAACTTTGACAGGAATTGTTATCTTAGATTGCTCTTCTTCATTTTCAAGCTAAATTATTTACAGCATATCTACTAAAGTATTTTTTTTTAAATTATTTACAGCATATCTACTAAAGTATTTTTTTTTAATTATTTAGAGCATATCTACTAAAGTATTTTTTTTAAATTATTTACAGCATATCTACTAAAGTATTTTTTTTTAATTATTTAGAGCATATCTACTAAAGTATTTTTTTTTAATTATTTACAGCATATCTACTAAAGTATTTTTTTTTAATTATTTACAGCTTATCTACTAAAGTATTTTTTAAAATTGGACTTATTTTATAAGCTTAAATAAATGAATAATAATAAAGTTATTGATTTTATAAATAAGAACAAAACAATTTAAAAAAAAAGACAACTTATTTTTTTTTTCTATTTTATTTATGGTTAAAATTATTTCTTTTCTTATTTAAATTTATGACAACTTTGATTAAAAATTATGACAATTATAAGATTATTATATTAGCTATCAAACAAAAAGCAACGCTAAATTACAACTACAAAATTACAAATTTCAACTTGAGTACAAAATTACAAGAAAGAAATCAAATAACATCAATAAAATGTATTGATTTTAACACTTAAAATGAAACAAACCGTAGCATATGATGTCACAGAAAGTGTTATTACACCTTGTACAATTCCAGTCCATGCTTCTCCTTCCTTTGAGACACTTAAATATACAGCAAGGTAACCTGACCAAGGCCATAAGTTATCTGAATATGCAAAAGCAATCTAAAATTTATTGATGACAAAACATTTTATATATATATATATATATATATATATATACATGTATGTAAAAATATGTATGTATATAAAAAAAAATATTTATATACATATACATATATATACATATACATATATATAAGTCTTTTATTTTAACATTTCTCTAACAAAACACCTTCAGTCAATATGCGGCCTTTATTTATCGTTAAACATCCAAGCTTTTATATCAAGTCTTACAGAACTCGATCACTTATGTAGCTTTTCACTAACAGTACACAATCAACCATACAAGTGGTTTCACTTTAATAACTTAAATGTCTTAACCAAACCTTTAATAAATTTCCATGATTTTCATTGAGTGGTTCCCATATTGGCTAAATTATAAAAGTTAAAAAAAACTATAGTATTATCATTAAAAAAACTGTAATATCATCATTAAAAAAATGTAATATTATCTAGAGGTGTACTGGATATAACTTTTTTCATATTCGGCTGGATACCGGATTAGCCGGATATATACTATTATATCCGGCCGGATATGATATATTAAACTTAGAATTTTGCTCCTTTTTTTACATATAATATCAGTAATGGTGGCAATCAGCATAATAACTAAAGTTTATATCTTGCTTCCTAAAAAATAGATGTTGAAAGTGTATTGTAATTTTTTTCTCTGTAGCAGAGGAAAACAGTATTATTTTAATAATCATTAAAGATAATTAAATAAATAACATGTTTTCGCTATAAATAAAAGTTGAATATTTTTAAATATATAACAGTTGAATATTTTTAACCAAATATGACCAAAGAACAACAAGCATTTTTTAAAAAACAACAATTACCAACTAATTAGCAATCAAGTAGGGAAAGTAAAAATAATGTGTAAATAAAAAAATTTGTTTTAAATTTTGCATATCTGTCAGCATATTTGCATTATCTGCTTTTATTTTTGTTCAAAAGTTAATTTAAACTTTAATTACCTACATTAATTTAAAAATTACATTACTATCTATTACTAGATAATATTAGTTTTTTTGTTTTGTTAATTTATTATCTTTATTACAATGTAACAAAACATTTGGAATCTAACAATGTCTACATTGAAAATTAACAATGCAATCCAGAGTGGGCCCAGAGGCGGAAATAGACAAAAAATATTTGTTTGAAAAAGTCTATAAAAGTTATTTATTCAGAAAGTCAGATAAATTTATGGATAAATGAAAAAAAAAATATGTTTTTAGCTAATTTCTAAGTGATGATTTGCAATTTTGAAGTTGATGAATTTCCAATTTTTTTGTGTATCTATTAAAGTTAAGTAAATTTGGAGTTTCCATTCAAAATGAATTTACCGACATGAAAATTGATAAACCACTTGTTTAAAAGTTGTACTTAATTTGATATGGAATATATTTTTGAATAAATAGATTTAAAATGTGTTATTTTTTTGAAGTTTTATTTTTCAAAGCTTTTAAAACTTGATTATGTAATTATATTATAAATTTGTTGTTGTTTTTTTAAAAAAAATCAGATTAAATCTTAGATTTTTTTAAAAAATCTAAGATTTAATCTGATTTTTTGGCTAACTTGCATCTACAGTGTCATACATTTTTAAAATATTTCACATTTCTTCTTTTTAAATATTTTAAGGGGAACTGAGGCAAGTTAGCACTTTTTTTTATTTACATGATTTAAAAAAGTTGAACAGTGATTTTTTTTTTTTCCCTTAAAAAATGTGAATATTTTATTTTTGGTTATAAATTATTTGTTTATTTGATATGATTTTGTGTTTGCTTCAGCAGAAGTAAAGTATAATAAAAAAATGGAGGAAATAAAAATTAATGCCTTTATCTGGTCATTATATAAAATAAATGATGCAAGTGATGTGTATGCTAATTGTAACATGTGTAAAAAAATGATTAAACAGGAAACTATGGAGGTTGGGCAAAAATGTTTTAGTACAACACCTCTGCATAACCACAATAAAATAAATCATCCAAAAGAATATCAAATAGAACGAAATAACTGAACAGAAAAGAATAAGTGAACGGAAAAGAACATAATGAATAAATAAGTGAACGGAAAAGAACATAATGAATAAATAAGTGAACAGAAAAGAACAGCTCAGGCTGTCAATAAAATCACACCAGTAGTTTTTTCAACTGGCACTACAGTAAAAGACGATATTGGTTTGGAAACCTCTAGGCAGACTTCAATAGATGAATATTTAAAGTCACAAAAGTATGGAGCCTTAATGACTCTAGGTCTTAAACTATTCATCGTAAAATTAGGTTGATGATAGCCTTAGACAACCAACCATTTACATTAGTTGAAGACACAGGTTTTAATAACTTAATGCATCATTTAGAACCCAGGTATTGCTTGCCAATTAAAAAATATTTTTCTAAAATAATAATACCTTAACTTCACACGGAGTTAAGTAATAAAATTTCTAATAAATTAATAAAATTGAATTATATAGGCTTTTCTTCAGATATATGGACATGCCCAATTTCTCATGTATCTTTTATTTAATTGTCAAGCCACTGCATTGATAAAGATTTTAACAGAATAGATGTGGTATTACATGCATCTCGTTTTCCAGAAAGCCATACTGGAATAAACATATCCGAAAAGTTAGAAAGTATGTGGGATGGCTGGTTTATTCAAATTGAAAGACGACACCTTCTTGTTAGAGACGGTGCTAGCAATATGGTATGTGGGAGTAAACTAGCTGAAATTTTTGTAATTGATGTTCTTTCCAAATGCTGTTGACTTTTAACTCATTTCAATCATTCATCATTACCTTGCAACAGCTTTAAGCAAATTCAACAGCAACAAAATCTTGACCCTCTTTGTCTTGTTCAAGATGTCCCAACAAGATGGAATAGCACTTGTTTGATGCTTGAAAGATTAAACAAATTGAAAATTCCAGTTCAACATTACTTAGCAAAACATTCTGATTTAATGACTTTTTCTACATTTGAATGGATGTTAATACTAAACATTAAATTGTTAAAGCCTTTTTTTCAATTAACTCAGGAAATGAGTTCAGAATTAACAACGTTATCTTCTGTTGTTCCGAATACGCGCTCATTAAAGAAATTTATGTCAAAATGTTGATTTAAAGTTGATTTAAGTATTCAAAAAACAAAGAATCAACTTATAACTTCTTTAAAAAATTGATTTTTTGCTGAAACAAATGATGTCTTTGAATATTTTAACAAATAGGTACTTCATGTCAATGTCATAGCTACTTCAATTGATCCAAGATATAAGTTTTCTTTCTTTGAAGATTATACCAAAAAACAGGCTAAGGACTGGTTAACAAATGAAGTTTTATCTTTTGAAGAAACCCTTGTTTGTTCTGAAGAAGTAGATTTTAGTGTAAACGAAGAATCATCACAATTAAATTTTTTAATTAATACTGAAAAAGAAGAAGACATTCTTGAAGCATGTTTTAAAGAAATTATAAATGAAACGTCTGAAAAAACATTACCTTTAAAAAAACTTAAGTTGGAGAAAAAGGCAAATTAAAAAAGAAGTAAAAAAGTTTTTTTCTGAACCACTTGTAGACAGGAAATACTGTCCAGTGAAGACCTGGATGCAAGAAGAACGATTTCTTCTTTTAAAAAGAATTGCTTCAAAACATTTATGCACTCCTGCATCATCCATATTTTCTGAAAGATTGTTCTCAGAGTATGGTAATATCTATGAGAAAAAAAGTTCTAGGTTATTGCCTAAAACAGGAGAAATGCTTTTGTTTATTCACCATAATGGAAGAAAAATAGAATGACTCTTTGCATTAACTCATTTGTTGAAATTTTATTTGTTTTGTTCTTTGATAGTATTACTGACTTTTTAAGACTTGTTTCTTTCCCTCTCGCCCCCCTTTCCCCATATTCTCTCTGCGGCATTGGAATCTAGGGGATTCATAAAGTTAAAGTTCATAAAGAGGCATTATCTAAAAGTGTACAAATATTATCTAAAAATGTGCAAGTGTGTATAAACGGGTAGGGATAAGAAAGCAAATGTGTAATAAAGGGGCAAGAGGTCCAGACAGTACTTATGTACATGGTTGGACCATCTTTTTTTTTTTTTTTATGATGAATTTTACTCAAGAATTAATTTTTATTTCAAAAAAAGATAAGGAACTTATTGAGTGAAAAAATCCTAATTACCAAAAGAGAGAAAGAAAAAAAAAATTTAGATTATTTGGTAGAAAATTTTTGACCGTGTAAAGTTTTTTCTCTCCCCATAATAAAGGCATAATAAATTAAACATCTTCATAACTTTGGAACATCAATTATTTGATGAATTTAAAGCCTCAATAAATTTAACTTAAGTATAAGATAGTGTAATGAAATATTTATCAAGTAATTTCCCTCGCATTTGGTGGAGGTGGTCAAGATAAATTTTTCAAGTTACTTTTGTTCCCAGTCTCTAATTACCATTGTTTTTGATACAAAACATTCTCATTCTATACAAGCATAAACATACTAAAGTTTGGAGTTTGCAGAAAGTTTTATGTCATACCTAAGACTTAAAAAAATGATGTTAGCGCCTATTTAGCAGCGCGCCGGTAAATCATTTTGATTCAGAGTGCTCAAAATTAAATTTTCACATAGATAATCAATTCTCCACCCCCAAAAGTTTTGATGTAAATGTGTTCATCAAAAGATTTCTTAAAATTTTGCTAACTTTGTTCTTACCCTTTGAGCATAGAAGAGTTTAAATTAAAGAAACTTATATGCTTGTAATTACAACTGAGTACATTAAAAACATTTTAGTGAAGTAATAGGAGTTTTCACATTATTTTAAAACAAGTTTATTATCAAATTTTTAGTGAAAACTTTAAAAAAAAAGTACAAAGTAATATCCGGTATATCCGGCCAGATATATTATATATCCGGCCAGATAACGGATAATAAAATATCTGGCATATCCGGTACACCTCTAATATTATCATTAAAAAAACTGTAATATCATCATTAAAAAAACTGTAATATCATTATTAAAAAAACTGTAATATCATCATTAAAAAAACTGTAATATCATTATTAAAAAAACTGTAATATCATCATTAAAAAAACTGTAATATCATCATTAAAAAAACTATAATATCATAATTAAAAAAACTATAATATCATCATTAAAAAAACTCATTAAAATTGTAATAATGCAATAGTAATAAAAAAAATGTGTTAATTGGTATTAAACAAAAAATACCATTTCTTTTATTCTTCCTGTTACACCCATTCCATTTAAAATTGTCATCTGATAAAATAAATACAATGTATATAATAATAAAATGAAAACAATGTTTAAAAATGCAACAGTTTAATAAATGTTAAATTTAATAATAAAAACAATTAAAACTAGATGAAACAACAAAAAAATTCATAAATGTAGATAATACATTTAAGTTAATCACAACTCAAGTGTAAGAATAATCAAAATAACTTACATTAACCAAAACAGGCATTGCACTATAGTATAAAGGCTGGGAACAATAAGGCCACATATAAGGACACTCAGTTAGATCAAGATAATTAGGGATTACACTAAATTAGAAACGCATATCTACATATATACGAACCAAATAAAAACACATATCTACATATATACAAATTAAATTATTTACTAAACTATACTATATATAGAGTATCTATCAAAAGGTTATTACCAGCGTTGTAGAGCTAAAGAGTTTCAAGAAAAAAAAAAAAAAAGATTGAAGTCAGTACAAACATACTAGGATTTTTAATACTGGGCTATACTTTTAATTGAAGAATTAAATTTATTTTGTCTCAGAATTTCGAGATAAAACACGGGATTTAAGAATGATGGTTCTTATGTTTAAGTCTTTAGTTATGTAAAAAAAAGTAAGTAAAGTTTTGTTAAAAAAAGTTTTGGTTTTCAGTAAAATTTGAAGAAAATAAAAGAATTAAAACTAAAAATATTAATAAAATATTAAAAAGTCATTTAAGTGTCATTAAAAAAAAAATACTTTTTTAAAAATATTAAAAAAAATATTTTTACTTTTTATATTCAAATGCTTTTTTCTATTTTTTATTTTGTCTTACTTTATAAACAAGTTTCATTTTAACCTGTTTAAAAGTCCTTAAAAGAATAACTAACAATTGTATATTAACATAAATGTATATTGCAAAATTATGCAGTAAACATTTTAATCCCATATTTGTAGATAATTGTTTTAATTCTTTGAACATCAGACAGGAAATCATTATTAACAAAGAAAATAAATAACCTATTCATTAGCAAGAAATAAATTGCAAAGAGAATTTTGGACCATACTTAACATACGCTGCAAATTTTTAAGAAAAAAAAAATTTTGGCTCAAAAATTCATTAGAAAACTTTAACTTAAGCATTTATCTGAAATAAAAAAGGTTGTAAATAATTAAATAAAGTTTGTATCATTCAACGTTTAAAAAAATGCTTTTTTAAAAAAAAAAAATTTAAATAAAATGAAACTAATCAAAATAAAGTAATATAAGTAATAATATATATAAATAAAGTAATAATAAAAGTAATATAAGCTACTATTTTGAATTATTTTGCATTCTTTCGTTAAGAGCACGCTTTATGTGTTTGTTTTTTTTGCAAGATCTTTTTCAATTTAAACAACAGTTATAAAAAGTACAACAATCTGTAAAAAAAAAATATTGATTTTTGCACATTAAAAAGAAAATTATAGATATACAGCTATTGGAATTAGGAAAAATAAGATCAGCAAAAAATTGCTGATCTAAAATTTTTTAGGTCAGCATCAGCATGGCAAAAACTTTAGAAAGAGGGTTCCAAATATCAACAAATGTGTGAACATTTAGCATCAAATTGACGAAAAAACAAACAAATCAAGAGTTTGCCGACTTTTCTTTCCAATGTAGACATTTGCTTAAAAATTTGAAAAGTGAACACAATATTTCATCATTTTAATAGGATATTAAATAAAACATTAGTTTGCCATTTTATTGTTGTTTTATTTAGAATTGATAAAACGTTTGTTTCAGTCTTTTTTTTTATCATTTCGTTAACTAATTTGAAATATTAAATAAAATTATGTTTTAAATATCTGAGGTTGGCCAAAAATAGTCAACGTCAGACATTGTCAGGTCATCAGTTAGAGCGACATTGCAGAATGCTGATCCTGATTCCGAGGGATACAGAATCTGATCTTAAAAATTGCTGAACTAGATCTCTGAACTTAACTACTTTAAATATAATATCAGTGGTTACAAATGATTATAGTGTAAATTCTATGACTAATGTTAAGATCAAGTGATTCTTTATTGACAGAAAAAGTCTCATTGTCGCGAGAGGTACTCTTTAATTAATTGTTTTTCAGCCTTATGTAGTATTTGTCTAATTTCTGGTTTATTTACATTTCTATACTTTGTTTTAGATAAAGTACTTCAATGACAGCCAGTTGCACACCATAGGCAAAACAAAGCTGTTGATCTTCTAAATTGTAAAAAACCACAAAATCCATAATGCTAAAATCTAAACAATTGCAATGTCAATTATAATATATTGCAAATCTATTATTTATATTATAGATATATAGATTGTTGAAGAAATGCAAAACTGTCTGATGCTTAAAAAAATAAAACTTTCAAATTAATAATATACAATTAACATAGAAACTAAATAAAACTCTATGTTATTTACAATAGACTTGTTGTTAGCCAATTTGCCATTTAATACATTTGTAAATCCTTTAATATCTGGTTATTATCATTTAATGGAAGTAGAGATACAAGAAAAAAAACATAAAACAGTTAAAAGAAAAAAGTTAAAAAAAAAATGTTTACTGGATCATATCTAATACTTAAATATACCTGGCATGTGGTTTGTATTTACTTAGTAATTTGTAAGCTTTGATTAAATCAAACTTGCCATGACCTTTGCACGAAAGAAATTGAATATAATTAATTTTAGCTTTAATAATTATTCAGGAAAAAAGTTAAAAAAATATTTATACATCAAAGTTTAATTAAAAAAATATTTCAAATTGAATCTTGAATAAACTTTGTCAATTTTTGAATACAAATACTGAAAGTTAAATATAAGCTTTTGTTTTGAAAAAATTTCTAAAATTTTTTCTATGTCTTTGGAAGTTAGGAGTACTTTATGTCTGGAAAACAATGAACCAATAGCAATTAATGACAATAAAAAAATTTCAATTTTTGAATAATTAGAACAATTAACCAATTTTAAATTTGGTTTCTCCTCTGTGATAGCTTTGGGCTTACAGGGGTTTGTGAACTCAGTTGTTTACTGGAAAATTAAAATAATGTTGATATTCTAAAAATGATATATGACAATATGGCTACTGAGTTCTATTGCTACTGATTATTATTTTATGTCCTTTTGGACATTAAAAATTTTTAAACATTTTTCACCATTAAACTCAATATTTTGAACATCTTTTGCCATTAAAGTGCAAAATATAAACTGTCCTTCAAAACACCAAATAAAAAATTCCACTTTTTCAATTACTTATTATAACATTTTTTTATTAAAAAAATACTAATTAATAATTAATAATAATAATTGAATCAAATTGTTACATATAAAAAAAAAGATTTGTACATCTTTTCCATACATGGAAAAATAAATAAACATGTTGTTTTGTATGTATTGGTATTTCAATCATTTATTTTTCTTTCAGTATGATATTACTAATAACAAAAGTTGTAACGTGTAACATGCCAAAAAAAAAAAAAAAATTTTTTTCTTTGTATTTGTTTCTATTGTGTGTATTGACTAATATCAGAATTTATGAGAGTTTTTAATCCTAGTCCTTGGCACTTTTTACTTGAACAACACAGACATAATCTACTGTGGCTTAGTGTTGTGGTAGTTTTATACTTAAATACCATAGACATAGTCTACCCTGGCTTAGTGTTGTAATAGAAAGTTCTGAGGGAAATTCTTTATAATTCTTCTACTTTAAATTAAAAATGGTAAATGAAGTGTATTAGAGAAAATTTAAATTGCAATCTTTATTTTGATTTGGCCATGCCATATTTAATTTTTTCCATAACTTTTCTTTTTCCTCTTTGTCTGAATAACTGCTTGATTTTTATCTTATTATGGATATCATATATATTTATGAAATAAACTGTCAGTGGAAGGTTAAATTAAAAGGTTGCACTGTCATCTAATTATCTGTCAATTGTGAAAAAAAAGTTTGATATACATGCTTCAGTTATGATTTTTTTGATTCAACTTGATTCAATTTATTTAAAACTTCAAGCTTTTCAAAGCTAAATTGTAAAATTAATACTTTTTTTTTAATTTTTTTAAAAACTCTGGTTGGATACTAAAATATGTTACCTTGCTCAAACATATTAGCATCTGGGATCCTTGTGGCAGACTCTATAATGGCTTGTTTCACACTAGCTGGGTTGGTAACAACGTTTTTAGACGCCACCGAGCTAAATCAAATTTTTAAACAAGTTGAAATGAAATTTAAAATATTATTAATATAGTAAAATAATAGTAAAAATAATCTAAACAACCTAAAAAAAAATCTTTTTTTAAAAACAACTAATAAAATAAAATACCTTAATAACAGAGCTAGAGCACCAGCCACAACAGGTGATGCCACACTGGTTCCTGATAACGAACGACAACCACCTCTATAAAAGACAATAGTTAAAATAATTTATACTAAAATAAAAAAAAACACATAAAAAATCTACTAAAGATGTCTAGTTCAAACAATTAGGGATATCAGTATTCTGAAAAGTAATTAACTTATTACTATTACTGTAGTTATTGCTAATATTTAAAGGTTAAAAGTAATAAACTTATTACAATTACTATAACTATTTCTAATATTTTATTTAGCCTTAATTGTAAAGAAATCTGAAATTTAATAATCACTCTAAGTTAAAAACTTGAAAAACAGTGCTAAATCTATTAAATAAAGAAGTGCACAAATACAAATAAGAAAAGCCAGAAAATAGTTTAAGTACCACCAAATTAATAATACATAATCATATCACATCATATCAAACTAATAATGAATAATCACATCACACCAAACTAGTAATCCAAAATCACATCAAACTTATTATATACTTATATAATATATTTTATATACTTATATATATATTATACAAACTTATATATATATTATACAAACTTATATATATATTATACAAACAAAAATATTTAATTTAGTTTTTTCTTAGTATCAAGTTTTTGTGTTTTGTAAAGTTTATTTAGCATACAGTTTATCAAATACTGAAAGATTAATACACCAGTTTTGTTGTATCTATCTGCCTAAACATATTTTTTCAGAATTTATGTCTATATATATATATATATATATATATATATATATATATATATATATATATATATATATATATATATATATGTATGTCTATATATATATATATATATATATATATATATATATATATATATATATATATATATATATATATATATATATATATATATATATGTATGTCTATATATATATATATATATATATATATATATATATATATATATATATATATATATATATATATATATATATATATATATATATATATATATATATATATATATATATATATATATATATATATATATATATATATATATATATATATATATATACTCTTGCATGTCTCTTGCATGGCATCAAAAAAAGTTTCCCATAAACTGTAGTTTTAAAGAGCGCGTTAATAAACCAGACCAGAAAAAGTTTTTAAAATTAAATTTTTTTTTTAATTGATAGACTGCCTGGCCAAACCAAACCCTCAGTCGATGTAGCAGCACTCTCTTGCGAGTCAGGCTATTTGTCAGTCGTTGTAGCAGCACTCCCTTGCGAGTCAGGCTATTTGTCAGTCGATGTAGCAGCATTCCCTTGCGAGTCAGGCTATTTATCAGTCGATGTAGCAGCACTCCGTTGCGAGTCAGGCTATTTGTCAGTCGATGTAGCAGCACTCCGTTGCGAGTCAGGCTATAAGATAGTCGATGTAGCAACATTTACGCATGTTTTAAAAATGTTTTTTATTAAATCAATAACAAAAACACCACTAATTAAAAAAAACTTTCTAGTCGTTATAATTGCGGTTTTTTAAAAATTTTTTAAAAAACAATTAAATTTAATGTACTTCCGCATAAATTAATTGCTTTGACATTTCGATGACAATCAAAAACAGCCTAAGAGACGAGGTAATTAAAATTGTAGTCGTAAGAGACTTTTTTTACATTAAAATGCTCTTTCGACTACACTATATGGGTATATATATATATTTATATATATATATATATATATATATATATATATATATATATATATATATATATATATATATATATATATATATATATATATATATATATATATATAGTAAAAAATAAAACTACGTGATTTTCACAACTTTGAGTTTCATGCTGTTGCAATCATCAGGTGAAATACAAATATAGTTTGTTTGTTTAAAAAATTATATACAATTGAAACTATACAGAAAAAACCTATACGGAAAAAACTTTTTTTTTTTTATTGTTACGACCGCGTGTATCTAATCTTCAGTTTTGTGGTTGCTCAATAGAAATTTATTTTCGTGACGACACTTGGAGATCAACTCATATGTTTACATAGTAAACATTTTTTTGTTTCATTGTTGTAGGCGAGTGCTTTTTTTAGGATAGACCAAGTTAATTCTGGTGTTTCTTTCAGTTTCCCATATATGTTTTGAGAGAGTGGTTGCATTTGAAACTTTTTTATTTGAAAATGATTGCTTGTGGTTTGCATACCTCTTTTTCCACACTCCTTCTGATAAACCAATGTATGCTTTGCTGGGAGTGTTTGGGGAAGATGCTATACATTTGTAAATGATGTTTGTCGCTCTACAATTTATTCAGCGGGCAGATTCTTTTTGCTTGCAATTGCATGGGAGATTTTCAGTGGTGTTAATTAAATTTATTTTTTTGTTGTGGCTTTTTATAATTTTTGAAATGTTATTTGAGCAGCTGTAGCTAATTTTTGTAGTGTTTTGATTGAATAATTTATGTAATGGATTTGAAGGTGGGAAATGTTTATCTATTAATTGCAAAAAGATTTGACCAACATTGGTGGAGACGCTTTTATTGTAGGGTGGGTTAAACCAAATTATATTCTTTTTTTTTGGGAGGTGTCTAATTTTTTGGGTTGTACTTTTAGTTAAAGTTTTTAAAACTGCTTTGTTTAAGTGCTTCTTCGTATTCTGTTTTTGAAGCGTTAAATATTTTTTCATTGGAAGAACTTTGCAATAATCGATCATTAATGGAGAGAGGGATCTGCTTAAGAACTTGGGGCTGGTGGTTTGATTCGGTGTGGATGTAGAGCAGTTGGTCATTTTGTTTTTTAAAAGGTTGGTAGGAGTTTTTTTGAAGATTAAAAGTTACATCAAGAAAATTAACACTGTTTAAATTGGTTTGAATCTCTATTTGAAATCCGATCTTTTTAAATATCTCAATTATATTTTTTCTGACTTTGTCTAACTGTGCGGTAGTTTTTTTGCGCACCACCATCAATCCGTCGTCTCGGTAAAGACCTATATCATTTTTAGTAATGGTTTTGGATAAAGAGTCTAGAATGTATAAACCCACCAGTTCGCATACTTCGGCTCCATCAAAACAACCCATTGTGACATCAAAACAATCATTATACGTCTTTTTTATCCATGTTTCCTTTTTAAAAAATAATAGCGATTTTCTGCAATGATTTATGACTTGAATTTTTTCACTGCTGATTTCAGTGTGCTGTTTTGCAAATATTAAAGCGCTGTTTAGTATGTCTTTTGTGATGGATGGGTAAAATTCATTGATGTCGAGTTGTATAAATACACAGTGTTGCTTGTCGCTTATGTTTGTAAACTATTTGATTACTTCTGCAGTGTTTTTCCATTGGTTTAGTTTTAATTTATTTTTTAAGTCCTTGTTGATTTTATCTAGGTATGTTTTGCTGACAACACCGAGTTCACTTTTTGCTGGATTTAATAAGCGGCAAAGTTTTTGATTTTCAAAGTTGTTTTTGTGGTCTTTTAATGTAATGAATGCTTCTGATTAGGCAATTGTATTGATTTATTTGTTTATATTTACTTTAGTTGCTATGCTTTTTGCCTCGAGGTTGATTGAATTTTCTAGTTTTTTAAGGGGCTTTTTTGTATGTTTTGGTGATGTTTTCTTTCAATAATTAGGAGTAATATTGGGGGGGGGGGGTAATTGGTAAATGTTGTTGGTTTTATATATATATATATATATATATATATATATATATATATATATATATATATACATAAATATAAATAAAATTCCTGCCTAAAAAGACTTTATAAAATAAGCTAAAAGCTTACATTTACTTTCAGAATTACAATTTACGAATTTTTATTTGTGACATTTCAAATCAATCAATATCTTTACCTGTTGTGTTTTTCAAATAAATTTCTTAACTAAGCAGCACTTAACAATGTTATTGAAAAAAATATATATATATATATATATATATATATATATATATATATATATATATATATATATATTTAAACAATTTAAAATGTATTCTACAAAAAGAGTGCTCAATGTTCTTAAAAGAACAGAGCAATTACAAGTTAGTAGAACTAACTTGTAATTTTTTCTCATTTAACACTGTGTTTCATCAATAAAGACTCATCAGAAATTTCTGATGAGTCTCTACTGATGAAACACAGTGTTAAATGAGAAACACAGTGTTAAATGAGAAAAAAATTTTGCTAAGTGATTTTCTATTAACTTATATATATATATATATATATATATATATATATATATATATATATATATATATATATATATATATATATATATATATATATATATATATATATATATATATATATATATATATATATATATATATATATATATATATATATATATATATGTAAATATGTATATATATATATATATATATATATATTATATATATATATATATATATATATATATATATATATATATATATATATATATATATATATATATATTTATATATATATATATATATATTTATATATATATGTATATATATATATTAATAAATACTAATATGAACGAAGATATACAACAAATATATAACCAAAAACTTATAAAACAAAAAATTGTTTACAAAATAAAAAGTATGCTAACAACAATGGAAAGTCTCAGAATGGAAACAAAAAACATTAATTTATGTGTAAACAAAAAACATTAATTTATGTGTAAACAAAAAACATTAACTTATGTGTAAACATAATTTGTGTAGTGATTAAGGAATAAACATCTCCTCAGAGTTGCATCAATTATTAATGGTGTTTCAATGAAAATGTTCTATAAAATTTTTTTTTACATATTTTTTTATAACATATTAGCAACAAATGTTATTAAAATTTAAAATACTTAAGACTTGAGCCAGTTACACTTGCTCCATAAGTGACAATATCAGGTTTAATGCGCCCGTAACCATAAGGTAATTCCTAAAAATATTTAAGCAAAATTCAGACTATTAAAATTTCCCTTTTTAAAAATTAAAAACCACACAAACTTTTTAAAATCTAAAAACCACATAAACTTTTTAAAAACTAAAAACCACATAAACTTTTTAAAAACTAAAAACCACATAAACTTATACTATACATGAGTAGTCATTCCTCTAGAGGAAAAACTTGCAATTTTGTCATCAAAATTTATTCCGCCAACACCAATAACATCCATCTGGTCAGCTGGATTATTTAATGTCCTAAAAATGATTATATTGCATTAAAGTATTTGAACAATATGCTAAAAATATTTATTAAAAGTCATTAAAATTAAAAGAATTTTTAAAATGTTACTTTTATTTCTGCTTGTGGCTTTTTTTTTTTTTTTTTTTAAGGAGGGGTGGAGATAGGGGGACTTATGTTATTATATGAAATATGAAATTTAGTAAAGCAATATTTTTTGTCAAAATATTTTATTAAAATAATTAAAACCAAAAAAGTATGGTGGTCAGATTACTTGTCACTTATTTCAGCACATGGTTGTATCCTACTTTATAAACTTAAAGATATTTTCAATAATTTGTTGAAAATAGTGAAAAACTTTCATAGTTAAATGTTGTTATCAAGGTGTTATAAAGTATGTTTGGAATAATAGTAGAAAAAAATGTAATAAACCATGAGAAATAGTAATAAACTATAATAAATTGTAAGAAAATGTAATAAATCATAATAAAATGTAAGAAAATGTAATGAATAATAAATTATTGTAATAAATCTTTTTTTTTTCAATAAGATTCATATATAAATTATTTGTGCTGGCTCTATTGTTTGTTTGCTCCTGGTGTTTGCTCTATTGTTTGTAAAAGTTTGTTCCGACTATTTACAATTCTGTTGGTAAAAACAGTATATTTTGGAAAACAAGTTTTTGCCATCTGCTTAGTGATTGAGTGTTTACCCAATTGTTTTGTATTCCTTATAGATTTTGTATTAGAAAATTAGATCCCTTCTTGCCTTTTGTGTTTCTAAAGACAAAATTAAAAATATTTTCAGCCGGTCTTCGTAGCTGTAATTTTTTAAACTCTTTATAGTTGTAATTTCTTAAGATAATTTTCACTTTTTGTAAACTTACTCAACCCTCGGAATTAGGAAAAATGAAGTAAGCAATAATTTGCCAACCTCTATCTTTTAAAGGTTGTTATAGTATACGCATTTCCTGAATTACATCCTGATTATTTGTCAAACCTTGTTTTTTCAAAACTCTGATATTTTTTTCTCAACCAGTTAACTATGACTGGTAAGAATTTATTTTGGGAGGTAAAAATAGCAATTTTAGTCATTTAGGCAGCCCTTGATCATTGACCAGCTGTTAATTTCCACGCTAGATTTAACTGATGGAAAGTTACTTGGAAAACCACAAATATTTATGAAAGATATATTGAAACATTTTGGTGATGAGGATGGTTTATTATGTTTAATATTTTTGGTTACAAGTTCTCAGTCCTGCTAACTAACTCAAAGTCCTAAATTAGGGCTCCTTATGTTAATGCACACCCAAAGCATTAACAAAGACATCATTCATGCACAACATGGCAGTGTTAATACTCTGATATTTTATGGCTTTGCATGAGATCAGCCTCTCTGAGATCACTGAGTTCAGGAAACTTTACTACTAGTCAGCCTTGGAATCATTAAACTGAGTTTTAGAGCAGTACCCTCATAAGAAGATAACAGGAAGAGTTGCATAGTCACTAACAAGGAGGTACAATCAAAAATCTATGAGTAGAGTCACAAAGATCCAGAATTCATTATACAAGGCAGGAACCAAGGTAACACAGGTTAACTTCTATGCCAGCCTAATAGAGAAAAGCAGGGGAGCAAGGCTGTTCAACAGAATTATTCTACATACCCTTAAAGTCTATGCCTAGGAGGCCTTCTACAAGGCAGAAACTGGATGCAGTTAAAATCTGCCCAAGACAAGTATTTTTATTTAGACATTACTTATAACGAAATACTGGAAATTAAGGTGAGCATAAGTTTTATGGTTGGAGTCACTAGTTGGTAATTGATCTAACAATACACTAAAGATTCAAGCAGGACAAAAACGTACATTTATATAGCAATTTATGAGTGAGTAAACACTGTGTCATAGATTCAGACAGAACACAAATATACATATAGTGACATACATGTGGATAAACGCTGCACCAGAAGTTCAGACAGAACACAAACATACATATAGATATGATATAGATGTAACAAACATACATATGGACAAAAGTTGACAAACAAATGCTCATACCCATAAAGAGGTCCATCATTACCAATAGCAGATACCATAATGACATTATTGGCAGTAAGTTCCCAAACCTGTTATTAAAAAAAAAATAATACAAATCAAGTTAAAAATTATAAGTATTTAATAAACTTTGAAACAAATAATAATTCATAAAATAATAACATATATGAAACAATAACAACAATAACATATGTGATAACAAATATAAAAGAATATAGCAACAATATATAATACATTATTTAAAAAAATATTTTTTTTAATGTAAAACAAAAGACACAACACAAAAAAATAAAATATAAAATTGCCTTATCAACAAAGGGTTTGTCCATGAAATCTGGTCCACCAATGCTAAGATTCAATATATCAATATTTTTCAAAATTGCATAGTTAAAAGCATCAAGAAACCAAGAAGTATATGAGACCTACATAAATTGTTTTTTTTTTATAAATTTATTGTGAACAAAAATAAAATAAAATTTATAAATTTTTACATATTTATTTAATTACAAATATTATTATTCTTTCTTATAGATATATTGATCTGACATAGAGCTAAAATCTGAAACGAATTGTAAATTATATTTATCATTCTTTAAAACAAGTCTTAGTGTTAGTATATAAATATTGTGGTCAGAATATGTTAACCTTTGCCTATAAAAATATCAATAAACTTAAATGTGTTAGAAATACCTGCTTATTTGTGAACACCCTGAAAATATATAAATCTGCTTCTGGAGCAAAACCATAGCATTCTCGATCGCTTGCAATAACTCCAGCAACAAATGTTCCATGGCCAACCTCTATATGCAAAATAAAAAAATTAAAAAAATCAATACGCCATTACATTAATAATATAATTTTATTTATATTATTTTTTGCAAAATTTGCTTATATTTGAATAACATTGATATCAGCATTAAATATGAACTTTTTTTGCCAATTCACCATTCATCATAAGTGCATCATTTTAGATTTTGACAAAAACCTTACCGTCATTTACTGTTTTTTCCTCAGTCCAATCTGTTCGATCTTTAATATTTTTGAAATGCGGATGAGATTTTGGAAGACCAGTATCAAAGACGGCTACTTTAACACCTTTTCCTAAATAAAATTTATATAATACAACATTACTTATGTGTATATATTTATAAAAAAATGCTTATTAAATACAAAATTTGATTTTAAACTTGTTACAAGCACATAGTTGTAGCGTTAATGTTAAAAGAATGTAAACATAGCAAACATAGCTTATTGCATCATAAAAAAAAGAATTCTTAAGACAAGCATTTTCTTTGGGTTTTCACACTAGCTATTTATTTATCTATTAACAACTTATTTGATAAAAAAAATTTGACAAAAAAAGATGTTTTTTTTGCTTATAAAAAAATATTTTACTACTTGTAATACTATGTAGAAAATTTTAAAATCATAGCAACAATTAAAGATTCTACAAAGAAAGTGTTTATATAATTACTATTTTTTAGCAGTGATCTAATCGTGCATTTTATTATTTTATTTTGCTCAAATTGAGACAAATTTCAATAACTCATTATAAATAATGTATAAAATATATAGTTCATTACATAATATACAAACTATCACACAATAAATTAGTGCATAATAATTTTATACTATATACCGTAAAATCACTTAAATTTGGATGCCATGTAACTTGGGTCATTTAAGAATAAATAACAAAAACACATGAGCATTTTAATTTTTAAAAACTTTTTTTCTCAAATAATATTTGTTGTCACTTTGTGCTTAAAAAACATAAAAAAATGATAATTTATTGGAAATCTGCTGAAATAACTTGTTTGGAAAACAAGAGTCTAAAAATTATGCATACTATTGAAAACCAAAATTGTTTTTTTTTTAACATCTTCGCTCCCAACAAGGCTGCAAGCAACCACTAATTAGTGTTGGAAGTTACTGGAAGAGAAAAGATGAAGATTGTAGTGCAAGATAACAATTAGAAGACAACTTAAAAGATTGCAAATTATATGAATCAGGAAAGCAAGATCAAGGAAGCGAATTACAAAGAACTGATGTTTGAGGAAAAAAACTAGACAAATATGAGTTTTTGGAGCACTTAGGAACAGTAACAGAAAAAGGATGAGACTTAATTGAATGACGAGTAACATGAGAATGAATTTTAGTAGATGGCACAAGAGACGCTAGCTCTTTAGAGCAGTGCCCATTATAGTATTTGTAGAAAAGAGAAAGAGAAGCAACATTACAAAGATGTGACAGAGGTTGAAGGTTGGCTGCAAGAGCAGGTCCAACTATGTTTACAATGCGTTTTTGCACCTTGTCTAAAAGAGAAAGGGCATCATTAAAAGATCTGCCCCAGATATGGCAACAGTATTCCATACAAGGTCAGATTTGAGATTTATAGAGATAGAGAATAGAATCCAGAGAAAGAAAGTTTCGAGCTCGATAAAGAGATGCAACTTTAGCAGATGCTAATTTTGCAACGGATTTGATATAAGGTTTCCAAGAAAGATCAGAAGTGAGAGTTAATCCTAGAAGATGAAGGGTAGATGACTCATTGAGTACATTACCGTTCATAAATATAGGAAAGTCTAAATTATTGCGATAACTATTGGCTGAAAAAAATTGAGTTTTATCTGAATTAAAGTTCACCAGCCACTGCGAGCCCTATGCTGTAGCAGAAGTGAGATCCTTTTCAAGCTCAAATGCCCCCTGCAAGCAATCAGAGGGAGTTGGCTTCTTATCGTGACAAAAATAAATGGTAGTATCATCAGCGAACAAAGCCACCTTAGATGTGAGAACATCTGGAAGATCGTTAATGTATATTAAAAAGAGTATAGGGACAAGGATTGAACCTTGAGGAACCCCTGAGGTTACAGAATAAGAAGAAGAGTGCTGTCCATCAAGGACAACTTTTATACTATGATTGGAAAGAAAGGATTCAATAATCTTAAAGATGTTTCCAGATACACCGTAAGAAGAAAACTTATGAAGAAGACCAGCATGCCAAACTTTATCAAACGCTTTAGAAATGTCAAGAGCAATGGCCTTAACCTGCCCACCTTTATCTAATGCACGATAAAACCTATTGGTTATTACTGTTAGCAAATAAGCTGTAAAACGAGAAGATTGAAATCCATATTACAAAAATTAAATATATTAATATATTTAAGAGTCATTTTAATAAATTTATTTGCTGAAAATAATTTTTGATTTTTGCTTTTATTTATATAAAAGCAAAAATAACGTAAAAAAACAAGTTTTCATAACTTTTAATGACATTATTTTAATGACACGTTGCAATATTGTATTTTAATGACACATTGCAATAACGTATTATTTTAATAACACATTGCAAAAACGTATTGTTATATCACAAATTTAACATTATGTTAAATTTGTGATATAACAATACGCTATTGCAATGTGTTATTCTGATCTTAAATTTCTAATATTTCAATGTGTTGATAGAAATGTCTATAGTGACCAAATTTATGAGATGGTATCAAAAGTTTAGTCAAATTTGTTTTTACTTGAAATAAAATCCTTAATGCTGGTTTTTATTTTTATTTTTTTTATTTTTACAATATAAATTAATGATAAAATTATCTGTATAATTTTTATATTGAGATTGTTTAACGCTTAAGTGGCAACTTTGCTGTATATGAGTACAGTGGCAACTTTGCTGTATATGAGTACAGTGGCAACTTTGCTGTATATGAGTATACTATGTATACAGTAACTTTATAGTATAAGCAAAATTAAAATAAAATGCAGTTATATATATTTTAATATTTTTATATTTTAATGCAGTTATATATATTAAAATAAAATGCAGTTATATATTTTAAAAAAATGTTTTATTTTTTCAAATGTATTTTTAAAAATGTTTAATATTATAGACAGATTTTTAAATAACAACTTTAATAGAAAGACATAGCATTGACTAAGGAAAAGATTCACAACAGAACTTAATCATTTTTTTTTTTCTTTTATAAAGACATTTTCATAAGAAACAGATTTTTTATTTAAGAAGTCAATCAGTTAGTTCAATCTAATTAAAAACATTTGCATTTCAATTGGCACACTTTTAAAAATTTTATTTTTCATTACCTGTGTCTTTCAAAGAATTGCAGTTTATTATGCAACTATTGGTTTAATTCAAAAATGACTTTGTTTTTCCTTTCAGTTACAATGATAATGCTTTTCTTTTATTAACAACTTTGCGAACTTGGCCACTATGTTATAGTGATATTGACTTTGCAAAATATAAAAAAATAATTTACTTTAATTATAATAGACAAGTTTGCTGAGACATTTAGTTCAGCAGATATTTAGATTGCAATGTTGTTTTTGTGTGTGAAATTGACAAAGCAAAAGTTAAATAGAGTTATGTGTAGGTAAACTACTACAGTGTAAACAGGTAAACTACTGTTTTGTTTTTGACATAAAATACTTTGATTGAAGGTTAGAAAAAGGTAAAGGATTTTAATAAGATATGTTTTCTGGTTGATGGTATTGCATTTGTTATCAGTATTACTATAATATTATGTGATGTTGTTGACAAGAGGATGATACTAGGTATTATATACTGGTTTACCTGTAAATAGCTATTTTTAGTTTAAATTTTTATATGGTTGGCAACTAGAGCAAGTAAGTCTAGTCTTTAATGGAACATGATGTTCCATTAAAGACTAGACTTACTTGCTCTAGTCTTTAATGGAACATCATGTGGTGATTATATTAGATATAGTGTTAGTTATGTAATTATATTGTTTGACAGATTTCCAAGATAACAGCAGGTAATTAGGAGAAAATAGCAATTAATTTGTCAGTGAACTGATACCAGGTAGTAATAGTAAACACAATAACAGCAATAAAGACTTGTAAAACTTTGCAACTAGACCCAAAAAAGTTACTTCATGAAACTTTCATGAAAGTGGTTTAATCTTCAGAGTAAAAGTAGATAAAAAATTATTTTAAGACTAATAATAATATTTTGAAACTAATGCTATAAAAAGTAGCATATTCCTTGCTAATAGTTATTACATACTTCTCCATTAAATTTAAGTTAATCATATCTAGTTAATTATAGAAAAGGAAAAATAAATTTAAAAAGAGATGGTCCATAGATTATGCAATGCTAAATTTATTTAAAAAACAGAAGAAGGAGATCATTTTCATTGAAGTTAAAGCAATATTTCACTCTTTGGTTTAATTAAAGATTCTGCAAATGAAAACTTTCAATCTTATTGGCTTCATTTATTAGTTTAATTTAGCGCTGTGCAATTTATGGACAATCCCAAATAGGTAAAATTACTAAAATTCAATGTCTATATCTACTTTTATTTTACATAAAGAAAGTCAGGTGGGAGGGGCAGTGCAAATATATAGATTTTATAACTTAGCCTGTTTTTTTCTAGAATTAGAGACTTAGCATCAATAATACCAACTTCATGCAGTGTTACCTCTATGCCCAAGTCCCCACAATACATTAGCTTGTAATACATGAGATATCTAAATGCATTGAAACCTATCATATATAAAATAATAATTCAAAACAATACATAAAATAACAAAATTGATTAGTGACAAAACAAAATGATCATAAAAAAATATTTAGGTACCTGTCTTGGAATCGCTCTCAGTATTTTCCTTGATTTAACAGAATCTTCTTCAATAAACTAAGACAAAAACAAAAATTTATTAGAAAAAAACTATTATAAATATTGTGGTACAATAATTTGTAGAAATTAAAATATTAAAAACAATTTCATTTTCTAAATGATAAAATAAAAGAATTTTACTAAGAAGAATTGTAAAAAATATTTGTTTCACTTACTGAGTCAAAATTAGATTTTTTTAGATTTCTAAAAATAAAAAAAAAATTGATATAAAATGTTTTTATTTATTCATTAGAATTTTAAATATTTAATCTAAAAATAATAATAACCAAAGAAGTAAACATAAAAATAATACAAAAATATAAAAAACGATTTAAAATTTTATTTAAAATAAAACTGTATTTAAAATAATCTAACCTTGGAGTCCAAGAATCAGTGTCCAAGTGATTTGGATTAACATTTTTTAATGTTCGTGCAACCATGCGCTGCTCAGTAACTCCTTTAATTAAAGTATGTTTTTTCAAAGTAGAAACCACCCTATCTACATCGGAATAGATCTAAATAATTTTTTTTAATTATTTAACAGTTTTATTTTTTAGGTTTAAATGCTTTTTACTGTATATAATACTTCTTAGAAGGAAAAATTATGATAAAAACTTAAAAAAAAAATTTTCTTAAATATAACTATATCTAAATTATATCTATATTTGTCTTATATTCATATATATCATCTTATAAGTAAAAGCCTATTAAAAATAAAACTTAAAATAATACTTTTGTAATTAAAAATAAAACGACAATTTCTTATTTTTTTCTTTTTAGAAATTGGCAGGTTGCACTTTTCTTATCTTCTCTTGTTGTCTACTAGGTAGACATATTAAAAGCAATTTTTCTACTTTTTTAGATTGTTAACTAAAACTTAACTCAAAATCATCAAAAAACCTACCATGACCCATTTTACTGCTTTTATGCATTAATTTTTCAATTAAACTTATAATTAATTACTCATAATTATATGAATTTATTGAGTAAATCAAATTAGAATTAATTTTATGTATAATAAAAATACCCTATAGAATTAAAAATAAATTTAGCAACTTTGCTTGACAAGCTTGTAAGTAATATTTTTGCTACCATATTTCCTTTTATTCAAAATAACTTGTATATAATATTATTACCAGTACTACTACTAATAATAATAATAATTAGGGCTCGGCAACTAGTGGAGACGGCAACTGGTTTTTTGTTCAGTTTTCTCGAAACCAAAAACCCTTTTTTTTTTCCTAAAAAAAATCAACCATTATTATACATTACTAAATAGATAAATAGTATAAAGATCTCGTCACATTAATCTTCTTGTTATTTCTCATTAATCCACGTTACTTGTTAGTTTTAAAAAAACAAGTAACGTGGAAAGTACAAATATTGTAAAAATAAATATAGTTTTAGAATAAGCACTTTGATATTAAATTTAGTTTTATTTCAATATTTTTTTTACAAATTATTATTAGATTACGTACTGAGAGAATGTTTAAATTTTCAACAATATTTAAATTTTACTTTCAACAATATTTAAATTTTAATACTTAAAATAATCAAAACAATCCAGGAAAGTCAAGTAACGCTAACTTAAACTATTTTGTCAACTTTTTGATATTTTTGTTTGTTGTTTTATTTTGTTAATTACATCGTTGCTTGCTCTTCGTGTTTCTAAAGACAAAACTTCTAATATTTTCAGCCGATCTTTGCAGCTGTAATTTCTTAACTCATCAATAACTTTTGTCTTCTTTGTGTACTTTCTACAGTTTTAATGCCACCATTTATATATGAACAACAGACAGTCACTGTATATTCTAAGTAAGGTATTACGAAGGCTAAATATAATTGCCTAATTACAATTCTTTTATTAGCTTTAAATTTTTCTGTTATTTATCATAAAAAATAATTGCTTGACTAGTCATTAACTATACCTGAAGAAGTGAAAAGTCACTTTGATATTGTGAGGCAGAGTTTTTCCTCGGCAGCTCTTTCCACAACATTAAATCAAAATTTTGCAATGCTTTAAGTAATATGTCATTTCGTTGAGAACCATTGTGGTAACCAGAGAAAGATACAATAAATTCTAAAACAAAGGAACTTCCAAAAAAGATTAAGAAAAAAAATATTATTAAAAATAGAGTTATTGATTTTTTAACTAAATGTAGGAAATAATTAAATTTACATAAATGAATAACCAAAAATCATTAAAACAGTTACCATTTGGTACAATACTGGAGCTATAGTTAAATTCCTCAATAAAATTATCCGAAAGGTGGCATAGATTCACAAATGTAATAAATATTATAACAAAAGCCACAACCATTATTCAAATAATTATAACTTTTTTATTGAAAATATAACCCATTTATATAATGCAAGTTCTAAAACAAGAACCAAACAACTTTAATAATAAAAATAACATGCATATCTATAATTATAGTTTTTATAATTTTATATCATTAAATATACTTTTTATCATTATATATATACCTCGTTTCTAATTTTTATGGTTAGACCTTTGTATCAAATAATTTGCTGACCTCAAAACATTGAGCAAATTATTGCCAACCTCATGTTTCCTAATTTCAAGGGTTGCTTTATATATTGATAATTACATTATATGATAACTACATTATATACTTTATATATTGATAATTACATTAATTGATGTAGTGGTTTATTGGTAGAGCGCTCACTCCATAAGTGAGAGGTTCTGAGTTTGATTCCTTTCACATCCCTGGTAGTACCGCACTTATTTCTCTGTGCAGCCACCTTGTTTGTCAAGGTTCGTGTTTTGGAGTTATAGAGTTGAGAGAGAGTTATAACCACAATTAAGTAGCTTCCTCCTCTGCAGTGGCCTTCTTGTCCTTTAAGAGGTGAATTAAGATATATATACTCGATGAGTCATCTACCCTTCATCTTCTAGGATTAACTCTCACTTCTGATCTTTCTTGGAAACCTTATATCAAATCCATTGCAAAATTTGCATCTGCTAAAGTTGCATCTCTTTATCGAGCTCGACACTTTCTTACTCTGGATTCTATTCTCTATCTCTATAAATCTCAAATCCGACCTTGTATGGAATACTGTTGCCATATCTGGGGCGGATCTTCTAATGATGTTCTTTCTCTTTTAGACAAGGTGCAAAAACGCATTGTAAACATAGTTGGACATCGTCATAATGTTGCTTCTCTTTCTCTTTTCTACAAATACTATAATGGGCACTGCTCTAAAGAGCTAGCGTCTCTTGTGCCATCTACTAAAATTCATTCTCATGTTACTCGTCATTCAATTAAGTCTCATTCTTTTTCTGTTACTGTTCCTAAGTGCTCCAAAAACTCTTACTCGTCTAGTTTTTTTCCTTGAACATCAGTTCTTTGGAATTTGCTTCCTTGATCTTGCTTTCCTGATTCATATAATTTGCAATCTTTTGAGTAGTCTGTCAATCGTTATCTTGCTCTACAATCTTCATCTTTTCTCTTCCAGTAACTTCCAACACTAATTAGTGGTTGCTTGCAGCCTTGTTGGAAGCGAAGATGTTAATATATATATATATATATATATATATATATATATATATATATATATATATATATATATATAATTATCTACTGTTAATTGCAGATTACTAGTAGTTGAAGTCAATATTAGCTGACCACCAATTCCACTACTAAATGTTTTTGGAGGGACACCTTGTGCAGACCAGCATCAATTAGACTTCTTTTTCTAACATTTCTAGGCATTACTTTTTGAATAATAATTTCTTTTCCATTTTCTTTTTTTTTTTTTTTATTGAAAAAAAATTAGAAAGTATTTTGTATTTTGAAAGACATTTAAAAAACTAAAACTGAAGTACAAATACTAACTACTCAACTGAAAAGAGTATATCTATATATATATATATATATATATATATATATATATATATATATATATATATATATATATATATATATATATATATATATATATATATATATATATATATATATATATATATATATATATATATATATATATATGTATATATATATATATATATGTATGTATATGTATATATATAATATACAGTGTTGTAAAGTATTTTAAACATGCATTCAAACTACTTTTAAATTTTAAATACTCTTTTCAGTTGAGTAGTTAGCATTTGTACTACAGTTTTCAGTTTTTGTTTTTTTAATGTCTTTCAAAATACAAAATACTTTCTAATTTTTTTTCAATAAAAAAAAAAAAAAAAGAAAATGGAAAAGAAATTATTATTCAAAAAGTAATGCCTAGAAATGTTAGAAAAAAAAGTCTAATTGATGCTGGTCTGCACAAGGTGTCCCTCCAAAAACATTTTGTAGTGGAATTGGTGATCAGCTAATATTGACTTCAACTACTAGTAATCTGCAATTAACAGTAAATACCGAAGTTCTTCCGCAAGCAAAACTAAATGATTTAATTATCAACTACAAACAACAATTTATGGATGCAAAGTCTGATTGCTCAAAATTGTGGTCATACGTCTTATATTAAAACTTTTGGAGCCAAGAGTAAACAAAAAACTCTCAAATCATGGATGCATTAAACTTGCACCAATTTAAACTAGTCCCATTGGAAATATTAAAAGAATAATTTGTAAAATCTATTGCTGATGCTCTGGGCAAACGTTAAAGAGAAATTAATTGATCTCTAACTCTAATGACAATGATTCAGAAAGTTTTTTAAAAACTTATGATGCTTATTCCAAAAGATAAATATTGAATAAGATATATTTTAAACTTGAGCTAATCTAAAATACTTTTAAGAATTGAAAAAGTATTTTGTATTTTAAAGACTTTAGCTTGAAAGTTTTTTGTATCTGCATTAAAATACTGATACCCAAGTAATTGTTTTTGTATTTTTGATTATAAATATATATTATATATATATATATATATATATATATATATATATATATATATATATATATATATATATATATACATATATATATATATATATATATATATATATATATATATATATATATATATATATATATATATATATATATATATACATGGCCAAATTATTAGGCTAAATGCAATTTTTGATGCATTTGTGAAATTTATTCATAAATAATGCAACATTTTTACTTCAAAATATTACAAAAAATAAGAAAAGTTAAGAAGCGCAATATTTTATTGTAAAAAAGCACTAAATTGAACCGTTTAAATATAAAAACAATTAAATACAATGCAAAATTAAAACTTGATATTCAAATGCGAAGATGACTTAAAATTCACATTAATAAGACTAAGTTAAAATTACAATAAAAATGCAAAAAGTAACAATAGAAAATGAAATAAATTACAATGTCAATGAAAGTTCGAATTGTTGAAACATGTCAGTTAATATTTCGTATGGTTTCCTTTATTTTTAGGCAGTACCTGGACCCTTGTATGCATCCCTCCCATGAATAAGTTTCAGGCAAAGCTTACGGATTTCATCATTATGATGCCAGACATTGATCAAAGCCTCGGTCAGTGTCATCTTGTTTTTTGGTTTCATCCCTCCTACTCTTCTTTTGACAATCTCCCACAGGTTCTCAATGGGGTTCATGTCAGGTGAATTACCTGGCCACTGCAGAACCTTAATGTAGTTGTCAGCTAAGTATTTCTTGACTGTCTTTGCAGAGTGACAAGGTGCTCCATCTTGCATAAAAGTGAATGGTTTCTGTTGACACCATTCGCCAAGTTGAGGCAGCAGTCATGTCTCAAGCACCTTCTTGTATTGAACTTGATTCATGGTGCCTTCAACAATATACAGTCGTCCAGGCCCATGAATAGAGATAACTGACCAGACTATGACATACGTTGGGTACTTTACTGTCTCTGCAACACAGTCAGGATGAAATTCTTTACCGGGTCTCCTACGTACATAGGCTGCTTTCTCATCCATGATGTAAAAGGATGATTCATCACTAAAACACACCTGACTAATCATTTTCAGTGAAATTCTTGTGTTGCTTTCCCCATGCCAAACATTTCTTGATCACTGCCGGAGTCAACTTTGGTTTTCTGCATGGCCGTCAAGCTTAAAAACCATTCACAACTAATTGTCTTCTGACTGTTCTCGTACTCACATGTACATTACTTTTTTGTAACTCTTTCTGCAACATCTTGCTTGTTGCTTTACGGTTTCTTATACAGCATTTCATGAGGTACCTGTTGTCTCGCACACACATTTTTTTTTTTTCTACCACAATTGCCAACACGGTTGCCTCGTAATTTTTCACCAGTCTGCATCTTCTTCTTCATTCTCGATACCGATTTCTGAATTATTCCAATATTTATAGCAATCTCCTTTTGCATGAGTGATGTCTCTCGTAGATAAACCTCAACTCTGGCCAATTTTGTCGGTGACAAGTCAGCAGCTTTTCCCATCTATTAAAAGGACATAAAATGCTTTATTAATTAAACATGTTTCTTCATTTTTAATGTAGAAAATAAAAATAAATAAAAGATTGACCTTAATGTAATGTCAAGCAACTCTTATTAATGTACATTTTCCTTTAATTTCTGCTCATAAACATCAAACAAATAAGAAAATACTGACCTCTAACAGATAGCAGGTGACCAAATTTTAATATTCAATTTACAGTTGAAATTTTCAATAAAATGGATCTTGAGCGAAAATAAAAATAAATTGCACTTATTATCACTTAAGCAACATTGGGCTATACATGCAGTAACTATATATACATTAATTTAATAACTAATTTGTGCCAAGATAGGTACATTCGAAAATAACCTCGGTTTTGTAGCCTAGTCTAATAACTTGGCCACCATTGTATATATATATATATATATATATATATATATATATATATATATATATATATATATATATATATATATATATATATATATATATATATACAATATTCAATATTACGAATACGAATATTGCATAATGTCAATACAGAACACTAAGTGTGGTAATTTCAGTTACTGTAGACAGTCATGATAAATCTTTCTTTTTACTTGTAAAAACTTTTGAATTAGATTAATAGATTTAATAGCATTAAATATCTTGCATAGATAGCCCCACAAATCTATGCAAAATATTTAATGCAGATGAACACTAAAAATGCAATTGAAAGCTAAATCAGTTATAGAGACTTATTTAAAGAGTCACTTGTTGTTGTTGTTTTTTTTGCCTTCAAGGTACTTATATAAAAGTGATGATTTTTTATGAAATACCCCTTTAAATTGCTTTTTTGAATTGTAAAAGCGAAACAGAGCTTATCAAACACATTTGTTTTTATCTTTATCAGCAAAACAGTCACCCTAATACACTGATTGAAAAACTCTGTTTATATCTTAATATATTCGTTTCTTTGAACAGCTTTATG